ACATTATTTACTCACTAGGCGTTATAGTAAACTGTTACCTGTGTAGAAGTAATTAGAATAACTGTTACCTGTATAGAAGTAATTAAAATATTCAATTATAGAATTTTTTTTGTCGCCTCTGATGTAATTGTTAGGCTCTCAGTGTAGTTGTTTATACAAAAATGATGTGTGTATGTTAGTCTAGTCGCTACATAGATATAAATACGTGTAGTTTCAATAGCACTTACATGAAACACACACACACACACACACACACACACACACACACACACTTAAGGTTATATCTTAATGATTATCCCACCTAAGAAAGAGGGGAGGAGGAGGAGGAGGAGGAATGAATGAAGGAATAGATGGGAAAAAAGAAGAGAATATGATAGAGGGGGAAAGGAAGGAAGGAGAAGTAGGAGAGGAGGAAGGGGAAGAGAGAGGACGAACAAGTTGATGAGAGGTGAAAGTAGAGTAAAGAAGGGGAAAGGGGGGAAGAGAAGGTAAAAGGGATGGACAGATGGCAGATGAAAGAGAGGAGAGGGAAAGCAGATGAGAGAGAGAGAGAGAGAGAGAGAGAGAGAGAGAGAGAGAGAGAGAGAGAGAGAGAGAGAGAGAGAGAGAGAGAGAGAGAGAGAGTGGGAGGGAAGGGGAGAGGAGGGTGCAAGAAAAGAATGGAGGCGAGTAGAAGGGGAGGGAAGGAAGAGAATAGGAGGAGGGAGGAAGAGGAGGAGAGTAGAAGAAAGAGAAGAGGAAGAATGGGAGAGAAAAGGAATATAAAGAGAAGGGGAGAGGAGGGGAGAGAAAGGGGGAGAGGGAAGAGGAGGGTGTTGAAGGAAGGGGAAGAAAGAAGGGATGGGAGGAGGAGAAGAAAAAGAGGAGGGGAGAGAAAAGGGAAGGGTGTGGGAGGGAGAGGATGGGAGGGAGAGGATGGGGGGAGGAAAGGGGAGGGTGTGGAGGGGCGGCATCATACAGAGAGGAGTGACAGGTGGTCAGGGCGTCGGTACGGTGATGATAGCTACCTCTCCCCTCACTCACACACACACACACACACACACACACACACTCTGCCCCTTAGTAGTAGTAGAAACCATCACTACCACAACTACTAACACTACAACAATTCGTAACACCACAACTACCACCAATACCACCCTTCTTCTCCATCATCACTAATAGCACCATCATTAGTAGTAGTAGTAGTAGTATTAGTAGCAGTAGTCTAACACCATTATCACCGGCGGGGAAAACTAACACAACACCTGAGGCGTCATCCTTCGCACCTGCTCCTGTAACCAATTAAGATAATGGCAGGTATATGAGAACCCCAGCATGAGCTTCTCCAGGTGATCCACGGGGACTCAGATTAACACAGGGGAAACTCACCCATTCTTGTCTCCTCGGCAATCATATCTCAAATACGATTTCTGATTATGTATAGATGGAGAGAGGATTATGTATCGGTGTATTCATCCTGGCATACACGTATACAGTATACATATGGATTAGCTGTGGGATTATGTATGATTATGACTGAGTTAAAAGCCTATAAATATGTTATCGATTTGTTTTGGTGAGAGAACGGGTTAGGTACACACACACACACACACACACACACACACACACACACACACACACACACACACACACATAGGAATATATATATAAAACACTTTCCAATGTGTATATTTATTTGCAACACTTCATTATATTTAAAAATGATCTTTGAATAATGTTAAAATATGCGAGATATTTATCCATTGGAATTTTAATTACCGATATCAAACACTGTATAAGTCGATAGCATAACCAAGGCTAAATGAATAAGAATATTTCAATTTTTTCACGTAAGATTCTGCACAGATTTGAGTAATGTTATTGTTGCGAGTATTGATTTTTATAATTTTTAGATTATTGTCTTTGTTATTTTTATTGTTCACGTTTTTCTAGTGTTTAACGAGTTATATTTAGGACTTATTTGTGAATATTAATTAAATCTTATGTGTTTGACGATAAATTCAGCTGCAATAAACATATAGTGGATATTTATTTGTCTAATTATTTACAAGGAAATTATATGTTCTGTAATGATTATATAGCCATCGTGTATAGCCATTGGTGTATGAATGTGTTAGCGCATTATCTTCCGTGTTAACTTAATATATAAATTCTATGGTTTTACATCTAATCTTTATGTAATATTGAAAGGTTTTAAAAGTCTGCTGTTACGTTGGATTTTTTTTTTACGTGTGATAATTGTTTTTATTTTACCTGTGATAACTTTTTCTATTATTTCACCTGTAATAATTTGGTTCTATTAATTTACTGGGATAATTGAAAGGTATTTAAGAGCTTCAGAGTACTGTAGACTATGCACTAAGCCCCGACGACTGATAGCGAACCCTACACAACACTCTACTAATACTCTATAACTAAATAAATTCTTTCGACGTGTGTTCCAACTTAACAAAAATACACTAATCATCAAAAAATAATAATTAAATACCCTTTTTTTAGATAATGACGCAGTATTTGTGGATCACCTGAAGAGTCTCCGCCCAGCTTATTTCACCTAAAGATTAATTAACCATCATAATGCTATTTGGAGAACTAGGTTAGGTTAGGTTAGGTTAGGTTAGGTTAGGTTAGGTTAGGTTAGGTTAATCTTTAGATGAAATAAGCTGGGGTGGAGATTCTTCAGGTGATCCATTTTTTCAACACATACTACTACTACTACTACTACTACTACTACTACTAATAATAATAATAATAATAATAATAATAATGATGGAAGCTCCTCGAGATCGAGGATGACCGGCCCAAGGGCCACCTAGGCGTGAATTTGTTTAAGATGTAGAAGCTGTCGCCAACACAACAACCACACCCTAAGTTAACGAGCAGTATTACCTAGTGTTAAGGAATAGTCCGAGAAGACTGGACAACGATCCGCAAATCGATTAACAACCAGGTTCCCAATTACTGCTGGGTAGACAGAGGGAAATAGCGTAAAGAAACTTGCTCATAGTTTCACCCCGCCAGGGGATCAAACCCGGGTCCACTCGCTTGCTAGGCGAGCATGCTGACTATTACATCACTAGGAAAGACATAATGTAAAATAACAACACTTATAAAGGTAAATCTAGAAAACAATTAACTCAAACAAAACCTTATTTAACTAGAAGCCAGAAACCTTATCTAGAGTATATAACAAGAGAAATAATATAGAGATAATTATGAACAAAAAATAAAAATATCGAGTCATTATTCCATATATACGTCCAATTTACATCTCCATTAGGTGAAAATGGATCTCGTTTAGCAGGTAAATGGGAGCCACAGGTGATTGTGCAGCTGTCGCCTCCCAAATGGACTCTAAGGGGATAATGGGGGCTGTTATGTCAGTTAATGGGGAGGGGAGGGGAGGAGGGGGGGGGTGAGCGTTATGGGGGCAAAAATTTTTAAGCTATTTTCGATTGCAGTGGAAGTGGGTAATTGAATTCGATAATGACAATGTTAGATTTTTTTTATAGCGTCGTTAGTAACCGGAGTAATGTTTTAATTTTGATAGTTTTGTAATTTCTGTAATTTTTTGGGTACAAGTAAGTCTGTTTTCTTTTACTTTTACGACATAATGAATTCCAAAATGACGATTGTATGAAAGCATTTATTTATTAATGTAATACTCATAGCAATTGATACCGTATAGTCATTTCTGCATTATTTATTATTTATTCATTTACATAATAGTATAGTTTTTCATTATTTTCACTTAACTAAAAAAATAATTCGCGGATATTTTGGAATCGCTCGTGTTCGTGTTCACTGTGGCCTTGGCTTACTCTTACCGCTATAGCTCTTAAACGAGTGGACGGATTCTCTTGAAACTTGGCAGCAACATTGATCCATATATAAGCGAGGGAAAGATATTTATAATAAGCATGATCCAATTATTTTAACCAAGGAAAAAAATGAAGTGTGTCTGGGGATATAACGAGTGTTTGAGATTTTAACATGAGCCTAAATTTACAACGTTTAGGCCTATTTTATTAAGTATTATTGTTATATTGTTATTATCTTTTATTAATTTATATTTCACGTGCATTTATATTTTTATTTGTGCTTTAATTTCTCTTTTATTATTGTGAATTTTCCCTCATAATTTTTCCCATTTGTTTTTATTTCCATGATTTATTCTTCTGTTTGTTTTTCTTCCATTATTCATGTGTTTTTATTTACTTTTTTAATTCATCTTTCATATTTTTCGTTCTTATTTAATTTTTATTTAGATTTACATTATTAGTTATTTCTCTTATTTCAATTTTCCATTTCATTCAGCTAATAATAATAACGATAACAAATAATAATAATAACAATAACAATGATAATAACAACAATAAAAAACAATAACAACAACAAGACACGAACAATAACAAAGCGATAACAACAATAACAAAAAACAAACAATAAAAAAACAAACAATAAAAAAAAAACATTTAATTTTAGCACCAGGTTAATTTCCCTCGTTTGACCCTCCCAAATGATCACTTAACCATCCACCTGAGATCACTTAACCTACCACATTATGCTTTCAATTTACCGACGAGTCTAACGTGTACTGGGTTGGGTGGTGGCGTACCTTAAGGGTCAGTGTTTGGTCCTGCTCTGTTTCCTGGACTTATTGTCTCCTCTTTTGTTTGTTTACGATCTCTCTCTCTCTCTCTCTCTCTCTCTCTCTCTCTCTCTCTCTCTCTCTCTCTCTCTCTCGTGTGCGTGCCTGTCCTTTTTCTGTCTCTGTCTGTCATTATTGTTTAATTTCTCTTTCTGCATCTCACTATTCTATATATTATCTCTCTCTGTCTCTCTCCTTCTATCTCTCTATTCCTTCCTCTATCGTCATCTCCTCCCTTCCCCTCTTTCCCCTCCCCTTCCACCCCTTCTCTTCTCCCCTCTTACCCCCCATACACAAATATATGTTAAAAGGAGACTCTTTTATCTCTCAACCATCTCTCGCCCCGACAGTAACTCACCGAGACAAGAGACAACTCGGGGAGACGCAGCCTGGACTAGTCAGAATGGAAGCTGGTAAGTCTCTATCTCTAAGCTCTATATCTCTATCTCTAAGCTCTATATGTCTATCTCTAAGTTCTATATATCTATGTCTATCTCTAAGCTCTATATCTCTCTACGTCGATCTCTAAGCTCTATCTCTATGTCTATCTCTAAGCTCTATCTCTAAGCTCTTTATATCTATGTCTATCTCTAAGCTCTATCTCCACCATTAAGCTCTATCTCTAAGCTTTATCTCTACCTCTATCTCTCAACGTCTATATGCCTTGGTATCCATCTGGCCATGTCTCTTATTATCTTTGTCTCTTACCTATTTCTAACTTTATTTAATTCTAACTATCTCTACTTATTTCCTACTCTCTATCGATCTATTTCAAACTCAATCGATCTATTTCCAACTTTATCGATCTATTTCCAACTCTATACCGATCTATTTCCAACTCTACCGATCTATTTCCAACTCTATATCGATCTATTTCCAACTCTATCGATCTATTTCAAACTCAATCGATCTATTTCCAACTTTATCGATCTATTTCAAACTCAATCGATCTATTTCAAACTCTATATCGATCTATTTCCAACTCTATCGATCTATTTCAAACTCAATCGATCTATTTCCAACTCTATCGATCTATTTCCAACTCAATCTATCTATTTCCAACTCTATCGATCTATTTCAAACTCAATCGATCTATTTCCAACTCTACCGATCTATTTCCAACACTATTTCCATCTCTACAGTAACTCAATCACTATATCCACCTATATCCACAAAGCCAACACGAGTATACAGGTGTGTGGGTGAGGTGTTGTATGGACCTCCTCTCGTCACGGTACAGGTAAAAAGTGTATTAGAACAATCAACAATAACATCCTCACCTGTATACACCTTTCATTACTGTATACACGTTCATGGGAATACCTTACCTGTCTCACTGTTATGTAGGTATTTCGGGTCACCTGGAGATTAGAGACTTCCTTGCTTTATTTTACCTGAGTGTTAATTAGTTTTCGTAATGTCAATCTCGTCTGATTTAATCTAATCTGATTTGATCTAACCTCAGCTCACCTAACCTGACCTAATCTAACCTGACCTAACCTGACCTAATCTAACCTGACCTAACCTAACCTAACCTAAAAAACCTAACCTAACCTAACCTGACCTGACCTGAACCTGACCTAACCTAACCTAATCTAATCTAACCTGACCCAACCTGACCTAATCAACCTGACCTAACTCCAACCTAACCTGACCTAATCTAACCTGACCTGACCTGACCTGACCTAACCTAACCTAACCTAACCTAACCTAACCTGGACCTGACCTGACCTAACCTAACCTAACCTTTTTACTACAAATGTCTTCAGTTTTGAGGAAGAGGATGCGTTGTAGGAGGAGGAGGAGGAGGGGAAGACAGAAGTTGACGAGGAGGAAGAAAGGAAGAGGACGACAACGACTACAACAACGAGGAAGAAGAATAGGAAGAAAAAACAAAGAAGAAACAGCAAGAAAAAGAAGAAAAGTAAAACAAAATAAAAAAAGAGAAGAAACATTAAATAAATAAATACATAAATAAATAAATGAGAGAAAATAATAAATAAATAAATAAATAAAATAAATAAATAAATAGTGACAAATACATTAAAAATAATGACAAATAAACAAATAAATAAATAAATAAACAATAAATAAATAAACAAATAAATAAATAAATAAATAAGTGAAAAAAAAACCAAAAGCGACTAAGGGATAAAGAAGAAGGAAGTGAATAATGAGATACACAAAAAAATGAATTAAAATGAAATGAAGTAAAAATAATGAAAATAAATAAATAAATAAAAATAAATCGAATGAAGAAAGACATTGAATAAGGTTGGATAAGAAATTGGACCGGACAGACAGACAGACAGACAGACAGACAGACAGACAGAAAAGTAAAGACTAAATATACTCTCTCTCTCTCTCTCTCTCTCTCTCTGTCTGTCTCTCTCCCTCCCTCTCTCCCTCCTTCTCTCCCTCCCTCCCTCCCCCTACTCGTGGATCTCTCCTCGGTCGGGCTAACTAGAGGGCGGCCACCTCCCTGCCCTCCTGATTAAAATGTTAACTCACTGATCAAAAACTTAAGGCGTGACAGATGGCATCAAGGGCCAGGGTACTGTGTAGAGGGGGAGGTGTGGAGGGGGAGGTGTGGTAGGGGGAGGTGTGGAGGGGGAGGTGTGGAGGGGGAGGTGTGGAGGGGTGGCTGAGAGGGAGGTGAGGGTGGGTGATGGAAGTATGAATATCGGAAAGGGGTGTGAGAGGGAGGGGGGGAGGGGGAGGAGTGGAAGGGAGAGATGAAGAGGAAGGAGGAAGGGGAAGAAGGGGGAAAAGGAAGGGGATAGCAAAAAGGAGGAGGTGGGAGAGGGAAGGAGTAAGGGGTGGGAGAGGGTAAGGTGGGAGAGGTAAATGGAAAAGTGGGAGGAAAGAGGAGCGGAAAGGGGTGTAGGAGGGTAGAAGGAGGAGGGGCAGATGAATGAAGTATGAAAGGAGGAAGGGGTGAGAGAGGATGAATGAAGGGAGGAGAGGGAAAGGGGTGGATGATGGAGGTAGCTAGGATAAGTGAAGGAAGGAGGGAAGAAGGGAGAGGGAAGGAGTAGTAGTAGTAGTAGTAGTAGTAGTAGTAGTAGTAGTAGTAGTAGTAGTAGTAGTAGTAGTAACCTAACCTAATATAACCTAACCTAACCTAACCTAACCTGACCTAACCTCTCAATATGATCTTGACCTCTAACAGTGACCTCAAGGCGTCTGTGTAATGTCATGGTAATTCAGGTCATGACGAATTCGGAAGCCACAATGTTTAATAGACAGACAAACGGACATATTGATAGACAGATTGATAGACAGATTGACAGGCAGACAGACAGACAGTCAAACAGCGCCTTACCATTATAAGCTCCACTCTGTCATGTGTATTACCACGATACAGGGATACAGTAATACGGTAATACAATGATACAGTAATACAGCGCTACCCGTAAAAATAGAGATACGAGTTACAAGTGATACATATATTTCAAAACGTACGGTATTATTGTGTGGCACAGAAAGTAAAGACACATAATGTATCTATGGCCCATTCAAAATAACACATACGACACGTGGATCATCTTGCTGGGTGCATATATATATATATATATGACACATATAAATAACACATATGAATCAAGTGTATCTTCCTGCAAAGTCACATAATCTATGACACGAGCACATATGACACTTGGAATCTCCTGCAAAGTCACATATTTATGACACCATGACACCTGAGCCTCCTCGTCCCGTTGCTTGGATCGTAAACAAGAAGAAATCGTAAAAAAAAAATGGTTAGGTTAGGTTAGGTAGTGACACCTGTACCTTGCTGCTTGACACCTGTAGTCTAAAAGCATATGAGAGAGAGAGAGAGAGAGAGAGATACTCATACACACAAAGAAGAGAAACACACACACACACACACACACACACACACACACACACACACACACACACACACACACACACACACACACACACACACACACTAAAAAAAAAAAATAACAATCTCGAGTAACAGAAGTATTATTGGTCGATCGCCTAAGTTCCCGATGGATAAAAAAAAAAATATCAGCGACCACGAGTGAAATGAACGGCTTGAACCTAAGATTATCAGGGTGACGAGTAATGGCGGTAAATGGTGTGGAATAAGTCAGACTGGTGTAGATGTGTGTGTGTATTCTCTCTCTCTCTCTCTCTCTCTCTCTCTCTCTCTCTCTCTCTCTCTCTTCCCTTGCACCTCCCTTCCCTTTCCTTCCCTGTCCCGTCATTCTCTTCCATCCCTATCATTATCCACTATGAACCTCCCCTTCCTCTCTCTCTCTCTCTCTTTCTGTCTCTGTCTCTCTCAAATTCATTTTTTTTATCCTTTTCTCTCCCTCTTGCATCTCCCTTTCATCTCCTTCTCTCCCCTTTCTCTTTCATTTAATATCTAGAACATGCCACCTGTCTTCCCCTCCCATCTTCTCTTCCTTTCTAACCCTTCCCTTTCCTCTTTTATCTCCCCTCTCCTCTTTTCCTCCTTCCTTCCCATTTTATTAACCATCCACCCCTCCCATCTTCTTTCGCTTTCCCTTTCCTCTCTCCCTTTCACTTAGCATCCATTAACGTTGCTTATCCCTCCCTCCCCATCCCATCCTTCCTCTCTCTCTCCCTCCCACCCTCCCTCCCCTCTCTTCCCTTTCCACCCATCCAGGCCTTTGAATTCCCAGATTTACCCCATCCCATCCTCACCCCTCCCATCTTCCTTCCCACCACTTAGCTGCTACTGCCTCCCTCTCCTCTTCCTCCTCCTTCTTCTCCTCCTCCTCCTCCTCCTCCCTCCAATACATTCTTTTCATTTTTTTTTCTTTACATGTTTCGCCAAGTCTCTCTCTCTCTCTCTCTCTCTCTCTCTCTCTCTCTCTCTCTCTCGTGTAATTTTTCGTCTCCTATATTTTCACATTCTTCTCTCACCTCTCACCTCCCACTCACCTCCCATTCCCTCTCACTCCTCACCTTCTCTCACCCCTCACTCTCTTACTCTCACTTTCACTCTTCCCTTTCACCCACCCTTCCCTTCCTTTCCTTCTATTTTCCTCTCTCTCACCTCCTTTCCCATTTCAACTCCTCCCTTCCCCTCCTCTCATCTCCCCTCCCCTTCCCCAACCCATTCCCTCTCAACACCTCTCACCCATCCCACGTTTTCCCTCTTCTCCCTACACTTTCTTTCCCCTCCTTTCCTTTTATCCCTATTTACCCCTATCTCATATTTCCCTTCCCCCTCCCTTATCTTTCTCCCCATCTCCTTCCTCCCCTCACACCCCTCCCTCTCTCTTTCTTCCTCTTTCGTGTTTTTCCACTGCTTTCGTTCCTTCCTTCTTTTCCCTTCCTTAACCCTCTTCTTTCGCTTTACTCCTCCTCTCCCCTTCCTTCTCGTTCTTCTCACCTCTCCCATCTCTTTCTT